CGCTCAATAGGCGGGGGAACGGCCGAGACAGAGCAGGAGATGCCGCCGGTAGCGCGCGCATACCTCAGCCAGATCTACATGGTGCGCCATCCAGAAGCAGCGATTGGCCTGCGGAATCTGAGAGAGCTGCGTACGTTGGCGACGCTGGTGGATCTCATGGCCATGAACGACTCTCTCCGTGCACTCGACGTGGCCGTACAGAGAATGAAGAGCATCGAGCTGTTCATAGCTCAGGGCCAATGGAGTCAAGCAAACTTGCTGGAGCTCATTGTGCCGGAGGAGGAGCAACGAGCCTGGTTCCGACAGGAGTTGAAGGCAGCCCAGCAAGAGCACAAGAGCGACCTGAGGCTGCAGAGGGACCAATGGCCGAAAAGGAGGGCCGCCTGGTATCCCTCCCCCGGAGGGGGGGGGAACATGGACAAGAAGGAAGCGGAAGGAAAAGACGGAGGACCACCCGAAAACGGAGGAGGTCAGAGCCAAGGGAAAGGAAAGAAAGGAAGAGGAAAAGGGAAGAAGGGCAAGCGGTGGTGAGCCCACCCGCGGCCCGGCGGGGGTTAGAATACCCAGCGATGGAAAGGGCCCTAAATGAATGTGAAGTGTCTGAAGAAACACGAGAGAAGGTCAGAAGCCTCATGCAGGATCCGGAGGTGGTGGCGCTCTATCGACTCAGGAGGTTTGCGTTGGGCAAGAGCCCAAACTGGAAGATGATAGAGCAGGATTTCTTTGAGATGATTGCCAATGTCGCTGGAGACCCACCTGCACTGGTAAAGAAGCAGTTGCGGCTCAGCTGTCAATTCCTAGGAGAGGAATTGATACCATCCGCATCGGAAGTGGCCTGCCGGCTCTTGGGGGTCGACCAATCTCAGGCCGGGGTTGATCCTCGGTCTGGGGAAGGTCGGCTCCTAAAGTTGGTGAATGGCATTGAAGTGCGAGCTGCTGACATTGAGTGGAAGAGAGAGGACGGGGTTTATGTTGGCACCCCTCACACAGAGTTTGGTGCCTCAATCTACCACCAGGAGTTTGTCAGTCAGTTGGATAAGGAAAAAGTGAGGATATCTTTGGTGGGTCAACACTTATATGTTGGCTCAAAGGACCTGAGAGCTGCCGACTGGTTGATTCAGGAATTTGGGCTGATTCCAAAAGAGCACGTGACGCCGGTCTCATGGAGGCAGATGATGCGGCGAGGGCTGGGGCTCAGCTTGTCGGTGAGTCTTGTGGGGGTGGTCTTAAAAGTCGGCATTCAAGACCGCCCTGGAGAGTTGGGCAACTTAGCGCGTGCCCTTCCTTGCTGCGCTCTGGAGAACTTTCACCGACTGGCAAAGGAGCTACTCCCATTGCCAATGCCCATCATGACCGACGAAGAACTGGCTTTTGAGGCAGCGGTGAAGGAGGTCCTCTGTGGCCGCTTGGATGTGACCAGTGAGAGTTGGAGGAAGCTGAACAGTGAGGCAAAGGAAATCGGTGTGAAGGCATGGACCTGGCTGCAGTGCTTCGTGATCAACCACCTATACTGCCACGGAGCAGGTGGTCGCATGCTGTCTGAGTGCATGCTTCATGCGAAGGAACCTACTGCGAGCCAGGAAAGATCCATCAAGCGACTTGACAGCTTAAGCAAAAAATGGATTGAAGAAGATAAGGAGGATGCGATCAGGGCAGACACCTGGGAGAAGTCGTCTGAGACATTGGGGGACATGTACACAGGACCCAACGTAGGGAAATCCTATCCTCTGACATTGGAGGCAATACTCCCCACAACACCAGGTGCGAGTGAAGCGGCGAGGATCCCATTGTCAGAAGTGGTGAGCGACTCGGTCAAGGAATATGTGGATGACCCTTCGCTGCTGCGTATCCCGGACGAGGAGCTCATTGGGCCACGCACCTCAGCGTTGGTGCAAGTCACCAGCCAGGAGGAGTGGGACAAGATCGTGAGCCACCTGGTAGATGCAGGCATGCTTGAGAGGGAAGTTGAGGCAGAGACCTTCAAGTATCGAGGGGAGCCAGTTCGTAATGGGGCGTTTGGCGTCCACAAGAGTTGGGTGCTGAAGGAGGATGGAGAATGGCTCCGCACGTTGAGATTGATCATCAACATGATCCCCGGCAACTCGTTCCAGAGACGCATGCCAGTGAGAGCTTCGGAGAAGATGGGTTATGCCCCGCTGTGGGGGAACCTCTACTTGCATGAGGACGAAATCATCATATGTGCCGCTGAGGACCAGAAACACTGCTTTCATATCTACCGGCCAGGATATGCATGGCGAGCCTTCTTCAGTTTGAGTAGGATGGCTTCAGGACAGGCCTTCAAAGATGGAAAGGTGGAGAAAGGTTACCCTCGAGTGAAGAGCGCACCCATGGGGTGGAACAATGTGGTGGACTTTATCCAGGACGGCTTTGAGAACATGGCCAAGATGGCAGGTTTGGCGCCTAATCAAGTTATTCGAATGGGCGAGCCGAGCCCGTTGGAACCTTTGGCAACTCCCAGATCATTCTTTTCGTTCTATGTGGACAACTTTGACCAGCTGAAGATCATCTGGAGGACCGACCGGGGGCTGTACGAAGGCCAGCCGACCGATGAACAACTCCAATTGCGAGAGACCATGGAGGAATTGACTGTAGGGAGAGACCCCAAGAAAGCAGCTGAGGGATCAATCAGCTGGACCAGTTTGGGAGCCGAAGTGGCTGGAGAGGAAGGATGGATTGGCAGCTCGCGGAGCTTCCGCCGGGCACTTCTGAGTGCTAACCTTGGGCTGTTGGTGGGGGATGAGGTCCGTACTGATTCCCCCAATCTGCAGTCTGTGGTTTCAAAGAACATGCACTCGGTGCAATACAACCGGCAGCTGGCAGTGTTGTTTGACAGGCTGTACGCGGAAATGAATGCCAGCAGGCCACGACTCTTGAGTGAGAAAGGTCGCGACGAGCTCTTGCTGCTATGCTGCTCACTGCCCATGCACTGGCTTGACGTCAAGATGAAAGTGTCAGGCCAAGTGTATGCGACAGACGCGAGTCCAGAAGGCGGAGGAGCCTGCTGCACTACTGGCCTGAGCCCCTGGGGAAGTGCAAGACTTCACAGCCTCAGTCATGAGCGTGATGGACTGGAGGGAGCCGCTACTGAGAATGCCCTAGTGATCGAATGCTTTGCGGGCATGGGAGGCCTGAAGCAAGCACTGGATTTGATTGGGTTTGAGCCCGCTGGGGTGGTGGCAATTGATACCTCGGCTGAGTGCTGTAAGGTATACAAGCAGCACTGCCGCCACGTCATCTGGGTTCAGAAGATTGAGTCCGTGACGGAGGAGCAGGTCTTGGAATGGAGAAGGCGATTTCCGCGCGCCACAAAGGTGGTCATTGGAGGAGGATGGCCATGCATCAACCACTCGGTGCTGAACCCTAGACGACAGGGAGCAGAAGGAGCTTCGAGCAAGCTGCTGGACGACATGTTGGCAATCAGAGGATGGTTGGGATCGTGCTCAGAGAAGTTGCACCTTCCCCCATGGAAAGTAGTGGAGATTTTCGAAAATGTGGTCATGGATGATGCAGATTACGAAGCCCAAAGCAAGAAGATTGGGTACACGCCCTACTTTGTTGAGGCTGCTGAGATTGGGCGTTGCCGAAGACCCAGGCTCTACTGGATTTCAGGGGTGGACCTTGTGGCTGGAGATGATCTGTCTGTCGCCGCGCGGCGAACTCTGAGAGGTCACAACTACCAGGTGAAGCAAATCAAGGTGGACACGGAACGTCCCCCGCTCACATGGTTCCTGAATGAAGGGACCACCAAGATGGCCGAACCTGAAGAGCCGTTTGCAACGTTCACCCGGCCAATCGCTCGACAGAGCCCTCCAGAAGATCCTGCCGGGTTTGACCAGGCCACAGAGAAGGCCTTGAAGCGGTGGCGCGGAGACAGTTACAGGCTCCAGCCCTACCAATATGAGCCTCGTAACCTGGTAACCGACAAGAATGGGCCCAGAAGGCCTGCAGTCGAAGAGCAGCTCCGGATGATGGGTTTCCAATCCACACACCTCAATACCAAAACCAAGCTCAGTGCAGACCTGAGAGGTCAAATGGTTGGGAATTCCTTTTCAGCGATGGTGGTGGCTCGGCTCTTGGTGGGCCTGGTGTTGAAGCCGGAGCAATGTGTTGGAAAGGATGTCAGCCTGATGCTCTGGGAAGTCTGGAAAGCCAAGGAAGACAAAGCTGGTCAAGAAGGAAAACCTTGGAAAGTGAGGTTTGCAAGTGTGGCTGCGGGGGTTCCTGGGGTGGTGAGCCTGCTCGAGCGGGTCTTGCCATCACCAGTCGCGCCCCTGCGGTCATTCATTGACCCTCAACAGTGGCTGACAGACGAAGAGATGCTGAGCTACTTGTTAGCTCGCAATGGGACACACCGTGGTGCTGAGATCCGGATTGACTTGGGGATGCCTTACTCCGTTGGTGAACTGTGCCGGCAGAGCATTGATCCCAGTCACTGGATTTGGAAAGTCTTGATGTCCTACTCATGGAGAGAGCCAGGACAACACATCAACATCTTGGAGTTGGTGGCGGTCCTTGATCTTCTCCGCCGGCAAGGACGCGATCCAAAGCATCATGACCAACGCTTGATCACACTTGTGGACAACCAAGTTGCAATGAGCTGCCTCTCGAAGGGACGCAGCTCCGCTCGAGCCCTCCAAGGTCCCCTACGCCGCATCAGTGCCGTATGCCTAGCCGCACACTTTCGACTCTGCCTCGGATGGATCAAGAGCAAGTGGAACCCAGCTGATGGGCCCAGTAGATGGGCCAAGCGTCGTCGCAATGCCTAGACAACAGGTCTTAGGCCGACGGGGCCGAGTCGAAAGAAAAAAGGACAGGCAGGCACTGGGGAGTCTAAAAGACTTGGTTGTGGCTAAAAACACTCGGGATCGATATTTGGAGGCTGTTTCACGTTTCTTGCTGTTCTTGCGAAGTCATGGTTTCACTTATCCTTCTTCCTTTTCAAGTCTAGATGCAAAAGTTTGTGAATTCATTGAAGCTTTGTGGCATAATGGGGACCCTAAGTCGTATGCTAGCGATTGTTTGTCTGGCCTGGGGCATTTTGTTCCGCAATGCAAGCGAAGTTTGGTGGGGGCCTGGCGACTGCATGGGAGTTGGACTAGGGCGGAGTTGCCTGCTCGTGCTCTACCGTTTCTGCCTGTGATGGTTTATGCCCTTGCTCAAGCTGCATTTGACAAAGGCTGGTCTGATCTTGCTGTCCTCGTCCTTTTGGGTTTTGACAGATTTGCGCGGTCTGGGGAGCTCTTTATGGCTAAGAGAGGAGACTTTACTTGGAATACCACCAAGACCAAGGCCATTTGGTCCCTTCCTTTGACCAAAAGCGGACAAAGAGTCGGAGCTCAGGAATCTTTAGTCATTGACGATAGCTGGCTGGTGGTGGCACTGGCTAACTACATGTCAGCCCTCTCTCCAGGGGATTATTTGCGGAGTGTTTCCCCCGGAATTATGCGCTCCCGTCTTAAAAGTCTTCTGAGTGACTTGAAGTTTCCTGAGGGGTACCAATGGTACTCGCTCCGTCGAGGCGGTGCGACCCATTTCTTTCGGGCCACCAATGACCTCTCACGAGTTTGCTTTGTGGGCAGATGGAACAGCATTAAAACTGCCAGAATATATCTCACAGATGCACTTGCGCAGTTAACTGAGATTCAACTGGAGCCAGTAGTTCAACGTAATCTTTTGCGTCTTGCCAAGCGAGCACGCCCTGGTTTCCAGTTTGACTCATAAGTCTTTTGTTCCCCCCCTGTTTCCCCCCGCTGTGACTCGTAAACTTTCTTCTTTCAGGTCCTCTCATCTCTCCTTCGAGTCAATGCTTGAGTATGCTACCTTTACAGCAGCAGTGTCCTGCTAGTTTGGGGAGAGGTGGACACCGGTGTCTGGGTGCTTGTTGCTTGGTGGGCTTGGGCCTGGGGGGTTGCACCCAAGAGGACTTGCTGCTTTGCTAGGTTTCACTGGGTCTCTAGTGTGCATCTTGCCCCTTGCAGCAAAGCGGTGGTTCTTAGATGTTGGGGCTTCGCCTGTGGGGTGCAGCTGTCCACTGGAACCCTTCCGTTGCTTTGACATCCATAGATGTCATCGCTTTGAACAAACTGCCTTCAGAGCGCAGCGTTGAAAATTAGGATGGGGCTTTGCCTTGAACACTAGCTAATGGTCCCCCGTAATGATAGTGTGAATGGCATGTTCGCCCTATCCGCAGCATTTCCTCAGCTTCAACCTCCTCTTTCCCCACCTCCACCCTGGGGAGGGACACCGGTGTCTGGGTGCTTGTTGCTTGGTGGGCTTGGGCCTGGGGGGTGGCACCCAAGAGGACTTGCTGCTTTGCTAGGTTTCACTGGGTCTCTAGTGTGCATCTTGCCCCTTGCAGCAAAGCGGTGGTTCTTAGATGTTGGGGCTTTGCCTGTGGGGTGCAGCTGTCCACTGGAACCCTTCCGTTGCTTTGACATCCATAGATGTCATCGCTTTGAACAAACTGCCTTCAGAGCGCAGCGTTGAAAATTAGGATGGGGCTTTGCCTTGAACACTATATTTAAGTTCGGTAAATCAACTATAAATGGGCCATGTTTGATAGCTATGTTAAATTACCAGAGGGTAGTCAACAATCCCCAAGTCATCACCATGTTTTACATATGTCTACGGGTTGTTTCAAAACAATCCCTTTATAATGGTAGGTATTTATTATTGGGTTTACCACAGTGTAGGATTATCCACGAACCAGCCAACATTTTTTGGAGGGTGCAGGGTATTTAAGATTGGCTATGATTCAAGTGGATGTTTTGAGATGATATACCCTCTGGTAAACTAACATAACTATTGAACATTTCCACTTTTCAGAGGTAAATCAACTATAACGGGGCCATTTTCCATAGCCAACTGTTAGTCATTACCAGAGGGTAGATGATGGATGTTGAAAGTTGCTACTTGGTGGATGTAGATGTTGCACAGAATGAGTCTCTTACAGCGGCTGTGAATGGTGTGAATGATACAAGCAGCAACACATTGTTTCCTCTGCAGATTCACTGGAAGAATTCCAAATAATCAGCTGGAATCCATTGGCAATCGGTGACTTATCAGCTTTGATACCGCGCCAATTATAGTTAAGTATAGCATTAGTAACATTACTGGTTGGTGGTTTGGAACATGTTTGGAATTTTCCATTTCATATATGGGATGTCATCCCAACCCCATTGACGAACTCGTTCATATTTTTCAAGATGGCTATTGCACCACCAACCAGATTATTAACCATCATTAACCATATAATAACCATTAATATTAACCAGATATTAACAGTATATTACCAACCAATGGTAGGCTATTGCACCACCAACCAGCATTAAGTAAGACGACAGCTCCGGCATTCGATATCAACGACGCTGGTTGGCGATCTCTGCTGCAACCTGGATGGTGAATATACCACTAAATGGGGGATGTTTCTTTAGGGTTCCGGAGATATGTCTTAACCATGAACATTGAAGGTAGGTCATGATATATCATGCTTTTTAGCATGATATAACATAATATTATTATTAATTATCATAACATGGACATATATCAAATAGAATTAATATATTATATAGGTTTTTATATCATAATATCGTTATCAATATATCATGATTATGATCTATCATGATATATCATGAACTTTTCCAATAGAGTGATCTTGACAGTTTCATAGTATCGGTTTGAACCATCCATACAGCGGCTGTGCCCTAGCCCTAGCTCCTTAGCTACGGTGGTAAGCACAAGTAGGTGAAGTCATGTTTATGGTGATGATGGTGACAGTTATGTCCATTTATCAGTTATAAGTACTTATAACCCCATTTATAGAATGTATAATCCCATTTATAACCAGTTATAACTGGTAAAGGGCCATAACTGGATGAAATATAGTCAGATGGGCTTTGTATTCCAACAAACCTGGCGTGAATAGGAGCGATCACATAGCATCATCCAAAAAACTCTCCGCTGTACTGCCCGCCTGTAGGAGGGGCAGTTCCTTCGTATGACCTTCCTCTTCGAGCAATTGCTGGCCAGCCTACAGTCCTGCGGTGGCGTCTTCAGGCAGCTTGCGTGCTGATGTGGAAAATCCACTGTAGATGATTTTCAGAGGGAAACCATAGGTTTTCCACATCTATGTTGGTTTACCCGGTTTACCCTAAGGTACTATGAATCCTGGATGGATTTAACCTCTGGTTATTAACAGTTTGCGAACTGGAAAATCAGGCTGTTTAATAGGTAAATCAAATCATCAAAAATAATCTATAAAGATACTTTCGTATAGGTTGCTGTTTAATAGGTTAATAACCTATAGGTTCATAGTCATAATGTTTCGCAATTGTCCGTAGCTTTGTTAAATAATAGGAGGGTACTGCTAGGATTGAACAATTCATCCTGAAATGATGCGGGTCGTTGGTGCCGGTTTTGTTTCGTGATCCGTGGGAAGTGGGGCAACCCTTCAAAACCCTGGGGTATTAACGAAGTAATGTAACTGGGGTATTAGTAACTGGGGTATATCCCTTCAAATAACTGGAAGTCAGGGATATACCCCAGTTACTAACCACGAATCGTGTATGCAACATTGAAGCAGGGTGTTTGGTGAAAAGGGAGCAGAGGGGTTGGTAGTTTTGAACCACCATATGTGCGATGGTTTAGAACATCATGTCCTGTTAAAGTGGCATAATTTGAGACATATAGCATCATTTGAAGAGAAACCCATACAAATCCGTATACTATATATATATACATATTATATATACACATTATTTATAAGGTATGTTTTTTTCTGACACAACCTGCTCCAATCTACCTTATGCGGGTTTGTCTGAGAATAGGGTGCCCCTATATCCACTGCTTAATCATAATTTTCCCTATTTAGATTACAATTTTGGAAGCATACAGCAGCATACACCATCTTCAGACACACCCATATGGGGATATTGCCGGATGGGCATATGGGAACTAAATGGTTTTCTTCCTGGTGGCTTAGACGGTCCCGATACCATCCGGCAACTAAACATGGCAAACGGAAATCTCCTATAAATGGACATGTGAATGGAAGAATAATGTACCCTCTGGTAAACAAACATAGCTATTGAAAATTGCAATTTATAGTGGATTTACCCATTAAAAATTGTGATTTTCCATAGTTACGTTAGTTTACCAGAGGGTATCAAGGGTGATTTTCATTGCCATGTTTGATGGCCAGAGTGTAGGTTTGAGCATGCTGAAAGCCTTCACATGCTGGCAATTTGGTGTCTTTTCAGACATCAAATGACATGCAATCCTGACACCAGATGTATTTGTCTTTGTCAGGTTTCCATTCAGTTAGTTATATCTTACAATTTTTCATTTCTATATATATATAATAGTGTATCGTACATATATATATACATACGTATACATATCGTTATTTACTTTTGCAAATGCAATCTCGCTATGTGCAGAAAATTGCTATTCGAAAAGACTCAGAAACTGATCATCATCCACACCTCTCTGGAGTTTCGTGCCTCGAGTTGGTGTCATCAGTGCTGGGAAATGGCATTTCGGGCCTACAGTGATGGTCATTTATTAGTTACAACTGGTGATTTCAATGGGATTATACATTAAATGGGTTCAGTTCAGTATTATAACTGGTATAACTCGGGCCATTTTGGGCCTAGCCAAATGGATGGTTTCTTCATGGGACAAGCATCGAACAGCCAGGCAGGTTGCTGAGGGTGATTTTCCACCTGATGGGGATGCCTACTGAAAACCGAAGTGGCTTGGTGGCTTGGTGAATAAGTCAAGCAACCAAATAAGTCAAGCAACCATCATAAGTATCAGTTAACAGTTATATAGATTTATATAGTTATATTTCATGTTAATGATAGTTAATCTGATTGGTACTGTAAAGTTCCCATAGATCCATGGTATTTGCTCTTCCGGCTCCATAAAACTGATCCGAAGACCTTGGCAGATTGATTTTCTTCGATGCTTTCAAGCCCGTCTTCGAAGCGAGTTTCGAGAGCTCGCTGTGGGCCTTCCGAGAGGCAAAGTCGTCGCCGGGAGTGAATTGTTTTTTGAATCCAAAATCAATGGATTGGTGGTGGCAAAACGCATGTTTCCCAATCAGTTCTACGGGTGTTTCAGAGTTTCATGTCTGCTGAACATATCGCATGAGGATGTTTCGGAATCATGATAATCTAAGTGGTTTATACACCAAGTAACAAAAATCATGAATCAGTCCGTTCTTGGGTTTCTTAAAAGTTACTTAAAGTAATCTGATTGGTGGTTTGGAACATGAATTTTATGTTTCCATTCAGTCGAGAATTTCATCATCCCAACTGACTTTCACTCCATTGTTTTTCAGAGGGGTAGGTTGAAACCCACCAACCAGTCATCTTAAGTGAAAACCTTGATGATTTACCCGGCCTGGTAAACGTTTACAAAAAAACCATCGAAAATCACCAACTTTTCATGGGAAAACTCACTATTTCTATGATCGGTTCAACGGTGGACATCAACGGAGGCCTTCCTCAATCACTGCCGAGCCAATCGTGTGGACCATGCGGTCTTTTCTCATTGGCCCCTTGGCGGTGCTGGGAAGCACTATGAAAAATTGTGGATATTCCATGGGATAATACAATATTAATAGATATTACATATATAATTATATATATATGTAATTATATGGTATATAAGATGTAACAATCATTCAATGGGATACAGCGAGATCTGGATGGATTGTGGGATTGTATTGGATTGCTCGATGGTGATTGACTGGAATTTAACCATCAAAAATGGGGCAATCATATGTGGATGGACTATTTTATATCTAGATGAATTAAACTTACCCCACTGTGACGTGACTGCAATGATGATTGTTCTTTTCAGCTCTGGGCCCGAATCCTACCAGGGGGGTAGAGCGGTCCTGGCCAAACTTCGGGCGGGTAGATTAAGCCATGGGCGTTTCATCCAATTTCCTGGAACCTTCGTTTTCTGACCTTTCGGATGGCCAGCAGACAGATGTGGTGGCACAGGTTTTGATTTTCTGCCCTGGGGCCCATGTTTGCAGATCTATGGTCAACCACCAAGTTTTCCTCACCAATGCTCCGATCAATAGAAACACGATGAAGATGACATTATTCAAGGTATCTTTCCTGAATGGTCGTAGGCCTTGGTTGGATTTCAGAAGTGATTCTTTTTTGCTAGAGCATCAGTCGACAAACATTGAGAAGCTTCAGCAGTTGATCGAGGGATGTGCAGGAATCGGGGCAGTTGACGTTGGTTTCAGATTTTTGGGAGTTGACACATGCCTTTTCGTGGAGCAGAATCCGACCTTTTGCAAATGGGTGAAAGACAGGTACTCAGTCCAAGTGATTCAAGGAGACATCTCAGCGTCAGCTACGGCGGCCGAAGTCGCAAAGCAGACCGGGTCTGGAACGATGGTGAGCGCAGGTATCTCATGTCAACCGTTTTCACTGGATGATCATAGCAGGTCTTTCACTGGAACCCTTCAGTTGCTATCTTTTACAATCAGTCATGACCATTTTGGAATGTACCCCTGAAGCCAAGCGATCCCAATGGATTCAAAGCCATTTAGAATTGCACAGTAAGCTCACAGGAAGTACTTTCAAACAAGAGGTACTGCAGATGCATCACATGTGGCCAGGACGCAGGGACAGATGGTGGTGTACCATTGCAGCAGAGTATGTCCCGCTTGAAGACATTCCTCCCATGCCATCTCTGCGGTTTGATCCTTTCATCCTTCATCTCATCCCCAACATGATGGACAGTAACACATGCGACATGAAACAACTTGTACTTGATGATGATGAACTCAGTGCTTTCCAAACGGATGGAAGGGGTATCCGATCACATTGCATTAACACATGTAAGGGGATGCCAACAGGCAAGGGGATTTACGGAGTGCTTGTGCCGTTTGAGGATGCAAAGCAGCCTCACATGTCTCTCCGTGCGCGCCATTTACACCCGACTGAGGTATCACTGATGTGCGGACTCCCTCCGTCATACTTGCAAGCATCCGACACCAGCAACATTCGACTTGACCTGGCCGGAGTGGGTCAATGCGCATCGCCACTCCAATCTTTGTGGGTGTTTGCCAACGTTTTGTACCAATTGCAGGACAAAGGACTGGTTCAACAGGTGGAACATCCCAGGCATTCCCTAGCACAGTTTTGTCGAATTCTGCTGAAGGAAAGGGATGAAATTTGGCCACATGCTGACACGAAATACAACCGGATTTTCCAACATGAAATTAACAGCATTGATCATCCTTTTTGCTTTCCAAGTGTTGAGGAGTTGGATAACATGGAATTCAGGCCGAAAGGTGCAGGTGAAGCAAAGTTGGGCGCCCGAGCGTGTACAAAGATTCCCCGTGCCGGTTGTACAGCAAACACCGAACAGGATCCAAAACCCAACAACCTGATTGGAACCTACGAGACATCCATTCATGGAGCATCTGCACCAGACAGCGGGCCGTGTACAAAGTTCCCAAGGGATGCATCCGAATACCCTAGGAATGTTGGAATCCCAGAAGACAGACTTGCAGCCGAAGGGACGACAAACACAGATCGAATCTCTCCGACCGTAGTGGCGCCCATACCCGATGCATCCGACCATGCCATCATCTCCAAATGCACAGGACATCCGAATCCCGACCGCATCCGATGTACAGAAGCATCCAGGGTTGCATCCGATCGGTGTACAGATCACATCATCTCCAAAGACGCCGGACATCCGAATCCCGACCGCATCCGATGTACAGAAGCATCCAGGGTTACATCTGATCGGTGTACAGACCACATCATCTCCAAAGACACAGGACATCCGAATCCTGACAGCATCCGATGTACAGAAGCATTCAGGGTTGCATCCGAGCGGTGTACAGATCACGTCATCTCCGAAGGCACAGGACATCCAAATCTCGACTGCATCCGATGTCCAGAAACATCCAGGGTTGCATCCGAGCGGTGTACAGATCAGATCATCTCCGAAGGCACAAGACATCCGAATCCCGACAAAATCCGATGTACAGAAGCATCCAGGGTTGCATCCGATCGGTGTACAGATCACATCATCTCCAAAGACACCGGACATCCGAATCCCGACCGCATCCGATATGAAGAAGCATCCAGGGTTACATCCGATCGGTGTACAGACCACATCATCTCCAAAGACACCGGACATCCGAATCCCGACCGCATCCGATGTACAGAAGCATCCAGGGTTGCATCCGATCGGTGTACAGATCACATCATCTCCAAAGACGCCGGACATCCGAATCCCGACAGCATCCGATGTACAGAAGCATCCAGGGTCGCATCCGATCGGTGTACAGATCACATCATCTCCGAAGGCACAGGACATCCGAATCCCGACAAAATCCGAGGTACAGAAGCATCCAGGGTTGCATCCGATCGGTGTACAGATCAACAGATGACATCCGTTGCATCCGGCCTGCAAAATGCATCCGTTCGCCGAGAAACCAAGCATGCATCAGATGCCTTTGCTGACCTAGGTGTTGATTCACGTGAAGCCCAACATGGCAATGTCAGAAGTGACATGGATGAAAGGCAGCCTCTTTCTGGTCCATCAGTTTCCACAACAAAAGCCAAGATGAATGACAGGATTGCCAAAGGCAAAGGTGGACACATACTAGCGAGCATTGCCCCTCATGACCAATCCTTGCCGACAAGCATCAAACCGGTGAAAGAAGCCTCGCAAGCAATGCAAATTACAGCCTTTTCCACCAATGGAGGGGTTACAGGCTTTGAAACCAGCAAAGCACCTGATTCACCGCCATCACTCAAGCGACCGGTAGAAGAGAGTGCAAGCAACAGCACAAAAAGAGCCAAGCTTGACAATCCAAATGCACCAGACCGAGTGCACCAAGACGGAGAACACCACCAAAATGAGCATCAACAAATATCCATGCAACAGGTCGAGCCTCCTGAGTCACAAATTGCCAACACCAAGACTTGCTGGATTGCTCATGAGAACGAAACCATGTTTCCCATTGCCGTTTCAACTGAGTCCACCATTGGTCAAGTAGTTTGCACAGAAGCAAAATTCCAGCACCTCTGGAATCATGGCGATCACCCTTTCAAAGCAGTTAATGGGGTGGGGTTCCAATTGTCAGTGTCCGAGATCATGCCAGACCATCAACTCCTAATTGTTCAGCATGGACATAACATTGGAGACCCAAAGGGCCAACCATGCCTGGATGGAATGAAACGTTCCCAAGCCCTTTGGCATCAGAAAGGATGGGTTGCGATGGATGAAATGATCTTTTACCTTCAGACAATACATGTTTCAGGGACAGCAGTCACCACCAGCCCTTTGGACTTGAGGCAAGAAACAGAAAACCCAAGAATCTTGGCAGATTGGATCCTCACGGCCGTTGAGAGCGCGCAGGAGTCCAAACAAATGAAACTCATGACTGCGGGTTTGTTCAAAGATCACTGGTTTCCAATCATGGTTGAAGTAGTCAATGACAGTTTCACCATCACAACAACATATGATATGACGCCGGCAGTAACAGCATGGATCAAGGCTGAGATGCTGGAAGAATATCAGCAGGCAAGTGGAACACACATGCCCCATGCGTTTGCCAATGATTGTGGATTTCAGACCATTGCATGGATCATCAACCAAGCATTGGATCCGGACAGCAACCGTGCAATCTCTCCCGATGAAGCTGAGTCATGGAGAAAGAATTTTGCTCACCATCTGGTCTTGTCAGGAGCACATGATCCACCAGTATATGCTTTGCCGCTTGGAGGAAAATCTGACCAGCACTTGCCAGCACTACGAGAACTCCTCGAAAAGCACGGAGTGAACAGCAACAGGTCATCACAAGCTGCACAAGCTTTGACGCAAAAGCTGGGAGCCGATGTGATCCAACGCACATTACAATCACCAAAGCCATGGCAGGACTTGAAAGCAAGAGCATCACAGTTGAAGCCTCCTTTTCGAATTGTCTTGAGTGAAGAACTTCAAGCCAGTATCGACAGCAAAATCGCATCGGGACAAGCCGTTGGCAGAAAGCAACACAAAGCAAAACAATCCAAGCCGCAGGAACCCCAGCGCCTCATTGCCGATCAGGTCCAGATCCCCAACACGATCTTCCAGCAAGCCGATGGAGTCCTTTTGCAACAGATTTCCCCTAGCCAATTCAAAGCCCAATGCAAAGGGATCGCGTGTGTATCCTTTGATGATGCTACACCCTTCCTGCAGTTGAAAGCGCCACTCACACAGGAAGGCCTAGGTTTGATTGTGCTTGACCATGATGATCCTCGCCTGCCATCGCATGATTTGGTACGTTTCCCAGCCACCTGCAAATCTACGGGTGAACCAATGTTGGTCATGGGAGCTCTTTTCCAGCTAGGCCAGAAACGAGTTCACAGAGCAACACCACAATCCGCAACCAAGATTGAGGAAGTGGAAACACGTGTCATCCGTGCACTGGTGTTTCAGGATCAGACCAAACTCAAATGGACCGATATCACGGACAAGCCGGTGCGAACTTTGTTTGCTGAAAGTGAGTTCACCGCAAATCCCGA